GCTTGGGTTTCCATGACAACAGGCAGGCAGCATCACAAGGAAATAGCTGAGTTTCCTCCCACAACCCACATCTGGCTCAGGGATCTCTTCTCATCCACGTCTGTCTTCTGGACCCAGAGAGAGCAGCTGAGTGGGTTGTCAGAGCTCACACCCGCTGGTACAGTTAGAGACCCCTCTCCCTGCCCCTGCCCCAGATAAGTGATGGAGAGATGGGCAGAAACAGAATACATGGGACACATGGGCAAAGTGAGGCAGAAGGGACTGGGCATAGAGAAGGGGGTCCCAGGGGCCTCCACATCACCCCAAGTTTTCCCGGTCACATCACCAATCAGCCAAGCAGTTGAAGAAAGCTCTGAGATAGAAATTGTTAACAGGGCTGGACAGGGTAAGGCTTTTTAACCAGCAGTGACCAGTCAGGTTACAGAATGTGCTCCTCAGGGCAGAGAAGGGAGATTTGCCAGAAAGCAGGGGAGGCAATTAGTGGAGAAAAATTCATCCTTGTTTTATTGCACCTGGCCCAGACTCAGCGATGAAACAGTGGTCAGGAGGAGAAAAGCACGAAAGGCTTGTGAATATCTCTGACTTCCACAGAGAGTAGCTATAAAGGATGCTATTGGAGCAATGGAAAGCGCTGGGATCTGGATGGTGGATTAGATGATAGGGCTTATCCGTGTTACATTTCCCACTTTTGATCACTGAACTGTGTGTCTGTGAGAGAGTGCCCTCGTTTTTTGGAAATGCCCACTGAGGTAATTAAGAGTAAATGTTGTCAAGACTCCAAATCACTTCCTCAAATTATTCAGAAAACATTATCCATACATTGTGTGTGTATATGTGCATTATATTTTATTTTATATGTCAAAGGAATTTATAACATATTTTTATACATTGTTATTTTACATATTTTTACATATATGTAACATTTGTAATACATTATCTTCTGTTACAAATTATATATTATTATATAATATGAACATTGCATATCATATGATACTCTTGTATATAATATTTATATACATATAATATATAATATATATTATATAGATCGGGAGTGACTGCTCATAGGGATAGGATTTCCTTTGGAGGCGATAAAAATACAGAGGTGGGCAAAAGTAGGTTTGCCGTTTTTTGTATGGAAAATAATACAATAATTAATAAATAGTACTACAAGAATAAATTGCCTTGCATACTCACAACTGTAAACCAGCTTCTGCCCACACTTGTATTTTGGAACTCGATAGAGGTGACGGTTGATCAACATTGTGAAGGTACTAAGTGTGCTGAGTTGTTTATGTTAGTATGGATAATTTTACTTTAATTTTTTAAATTACTAACTCAAAGGAAAGTTTCTTTCTTGCTTGTTGTCATAAGGAAACGTGGACTCCTGCTACTCAATAACATTTCTGTTACAGAGGCGTGAAGGTCAGTCACCTCTTAAGGCCCTCAGAAAGAAGAAAGACATATCATTGAATGCTACCAATGTCAATCCTCTCTGCTTGAGGAGCAGTGGCTAAAATGCCTCCACACAGTCTCCCGTGGCAGACTCCTCTCCCCTTCTGCAAACTTCAAGTGTGTGTGGGTATCCTCACAAGTCAAACTTCTCCTATTAAAAAAGAGGGCACTTCACCACAGTGAGCTAAGAAAGTAGTGTGGACAATGTTTGTTACTCAGCAGTGTTTTATCTTAAAGGAAAAAATCAAGAGGACTTTGTTGAAATGTCCTTTGATAGATTTGTTTAGCTCTGTCTCAATATGTTATAAAAAAGAACCAACTGCATAATTGATTTAGGGACTTTTAAAGAGAAGGGAGTGTCCCCTCATTGTTGGCAAAGAATTCCCCTGAAATGTTCTCTTGTAGGCATGGAGTGAGTGATTCAATGAGATACTGAATGCACCATGCCTACCCTATGGTGTATCCCCTGGGTCTTTGCTCCTGTGTGTGGTTTTAAAACGTATCTCCAAACTTATTGACATCTCTCCTACATCTAATTCTCTTCCCTTGAGAGAGTGGCATCGGATTCTCTTCCCTTGAAGTGGGCCAGATTTAGTGAGCTTCTCCCAGAAAATGGCATGGGGTAGAAATTACCCTGAGTGCCTTTCAAGGCTACACAGCACCTCCTAAAGACTGTCCAAAAACACAGTCACATTGAGGGTTAGGGCTTCAACATATGAATTCTGGTAGAACAAATTCAGTTCACAGCAGCCAGGAAGCCTGGGGTAGTTTGTTAAGCTAAAATAGATAACTAGAATGATGTGAAACACTGCTTCTTTCAATAACTATCTGAAAAATTACCTATCAGTGAAATATCTCCCATCTGCCTCCTTACCTCCCCAGACAGATACGATCCATTCATCCTCTGAGCTCCTACATCCTTGACCACATGCCCTGATTTAAGCTACCTCCCTTGATCAGATTCTCAGTTCTTGAGAACAGTGTCTGCCTGCTCATTGATACATCCTCAGCTTGTAGCACATGACCCAAAACAGAGTAGGTGCTTAGAATATCAATAAATATGGCTGCATGAATGAAACAAAGACATGTACCAATACCTCAGGCTGAGCTAAACAGCAAAGATCTATTTAGTCCCATTAAGACCACATTGAGACTGTTTCTTAGAAACTAAACCATGGCATATTTTCCCAATGAACAGGCAGTTCCCCGGGGAGGAAACAGACATAGTAAACAAACTCTTGGGGAACTGTGTGATTTGGTTAGCAATTATAGACAGGCAAATTGAAGCCACAGCTACATTTAACATGGTTCCAGTTACTATTGCTGCATCACAAATTACTCCAACACGTGCAGGCTTAAAACAATCATTTTCTTATATGTCATGGTTTCTGTAAGTCAGGAATTTGGGCAGGGTTCAGCTTGAGGGTGGGGCAGGGAGCTTCTTTCGTTACCTGTGGGTGGTGTCAGCTGGTGGTAACTGGTCTGGAAGGTCCAAAACAATTTCATTTACACAGGAGACGTCACAGAGGGGATGTCTGGAAGGCTGGGCTCCGCTGGGACAGTAGGCAAGAGGGTCTACACATGGTCTGTCCAGCATGTCCAGCTTGACTTCCTTTATGGTGGTTGGTTTTCCAAGAGTGGGCATCTCCAGAGAACAGTGGATTCCACAGAATTGATAATGAGTACTTCTGATTAGTACCGAAATTGAGAAAAAGATTTTCCTATAATCCAATTGAATAAAAAATTCCTTCAGAACCTTTAAAGAGAGAGAGAGAGAGAAACAGGGGAATCTGGTGACCTCTTTAACCCTAAACTCAGAAATCCCAATGCCAGTGGTCAAAGTGTTATGGGAGAAACTAGGTTCTTCTTGCCAACATGGTAAAGAACTACAGACCAGCAAGTCTATTGGCAGGTAAGCAGGGTTTATTAGTGATACATTCTCATGGAAGAGAATGGGCCTTTCCAAGGTGAGGGTGAAAGCCAGGAGCTTGGGTGGCAAAAAGCAAGGGTGGCAACAGCATCAGGTCCTTTGTTTTGAGGACTTACATAGCTGGCAGGATGGAGGTGAAGAGGTTACATATTGATTGACACGTAAAGGTGGTGTGAGCTTTCCCAGGGGGAATGTGACTACCCAAATGCAGGTATGTGTGGGGGTCTGTTAGCCTGAATCCTTATCTTGCTCCAGACTCCATTTGTTCATCTTGTTGTAAAATAGATACGTGACAGGAGGCAGTGAATTAAAGTTGAGGCAGTTACCCAAAGGTATTTATGGGCTCTTTAAGCACTAGGGACTCCCTCATAAAACAGTGACCAGAGGTAGGCAATTTACCAAAGTTGTTTTATGGGCTTTCTCTATGGGCACTGAGGACCCCCTCTTCTTCCACCTTCTACACCTTGGGATGAATAGTTTCAAAGGCTTTCTTTCCCAGATAGTGAAAACCACACACAGAATTTCAAGGTGTTAGCAGGGTGTTTCTTGTGATGTTGGAACATCTGGCAATATTATCGGACCAGGCTCAGGACGGCTCAGTTGGCGGGTGAGACATGTCTCCCTCCTCTTCCCTGCTTTGGTTTACCATCTATCCTACCTAACAAAAACAGCCACAAGTCCACCCACACTCAAGGAAGGGGGACAAAGTCCTCCCCTGTCATAGTAGGAGTGTCAGGGACCAATCAAACTGAGAATTTGGAGCCTGCCTTTGCATAGAAATAAACCAATCAGGGACATGGATCGGGACTCTTCTCTATATAAGCCAGCTTTTCCTCTGTCTCAATGGAGCGCCCACTCAGTTTCCCTCCCAGACTGAGCTTCCTCAGCAGGGGCTGTAACATCAGAACTGAAGCAGCAAGAGACCCTCACTGGAGCTATTTGGACTCAGCTGTCCCACATCTAAGCTGTCTCACAGCCCAGCCATTCCACCCCCAAAATACACCACAACTGAGCTGTTCGCACTAGTCTCCCTCTTTGCCGCACCCCCAGGATTTCTAGTGGCATTGACTTGGCAGCAACCATATTCAGTTGATAGTATTAATGGGTGAGTGAACAAAAGAATAAATGAATGAGAAGTGGGTGCAAGAGACTGACCCTTAGGGCCACCTCTACATCCTGCCTCCCTAACATCCTGGCCCTGTGGACTTTCCTGCCTCTCCAGAGCGCCGCCTGTCAGTCGGAAGCCTGAATCAGAGCACTTGGCCGGTTTCGCCAGCCTTCACTCCCGATAATTGGCGCCAAATTGCTCTCAATGCCTTTTGGGGAATGTAGTCTTTGGCTCCCGCTTGCGTTTCCTGTTAGCACAGACATTGAGGCATCCACCAAACTTTCTTAGGGACCCATAAGCTATTGCGATGACATTGCATCTCGGGAACTGTAGTCCTCTGTTGAGTTTCAGCGCTAATCGGCAGCAAGTGGAACGACAATTCCCATCATGCACTGTGCTACAAGTTCGCTGAGGCTAGTCCGCAGACTTCTGGGAGATATAGTCTTCAAATCTCACAGTTCCTTCTCTATCCTACAGAGTAGGCAGGCTCAGGGGACTACATTCCTCTACGCGCTTCCATTAGCGAACGCCATCAGGCAGCCGCAACCATTTTGTTTCGCCCAAGAAGCCCTTAAGATGGCGGCGGGGGAGACGGTGAAGGTTGTACCCTGCCTCTCCGGGCTCTAGCCCGCCTTTCCCCGCTCCCCGGAGGCCAGCCAATGGCCTGGCAGAGGCTCGAACCATGGACCTCCGCACCGCCGTGTACAACGCCGCCCGCGACGGCAAGCTTCAGCTGCTTCAAAAGCTGCTCAGCGGTCGGAGCCAGGAGGAGCTGGATGAGCTGACGGGCGAAGTGGCCGGTGAGGGGACGCCGCTGCTCATTGCAGCCCGCTACGGCCATCTGGACGTGGTCGAGTATCTAGTGGACCGGTGCGGCGCGAGCGTGGAGGCGGGCGGCTCGGTGCATTTCGATGGCGAGACCATCGAGGGCGCGCCGCCTCTGTGGGCCGCCTCGGCCGCTGGACACCTGGACGTGGTACAGAGCCTGCTGCGCCGCGGGGCCTCGGTGAACCGCACCACGCGTACCAACTCCACGCCCCTGCGCGCCGCTTGCTTCGATGGGCATCTGGAAGTGGTACGCTACCTGGTGGGTGAGCACCAAGCCGACCTGGAAGTGGCCAACCGGCATGGGCACACGTGCCTCATGATCTCCTGCTACAAGGGGCACCGTGAGATCGCCCGCTACCTGCTGGAGCAGGGCGCCCAGGTGAACCGTCGCAGCGCCAAGGGTAATACGGCCCTGCACGACTGCGCGGAGTCCGGCAGCCTGGAGATCCTGCAGCTGCTGCTCGGATGCAATGCCCGCATGGAACGCGATGGCTACGGCATGACCCCGTTGCTGGCGGCCAGCGTGACCGGCCACACCAACATCGTGGAGTACCTTATCCAGGAGCAGCCTGCTGGGAAGGAAGTGCAGCCAGGGCTGGCCCCAAAAGGTCCCTCCACCAGTCCGGGATGCGTGATGTCCCAGGGGGCCAGCTGTTGCAGTTCCTCCCCAGAGGAACCCCTTAGTGAATCTTATGAGAGCTGCTGCCCTACCAGCCGGGAAGCTGCAGTGGAAGCCTTGGAGTTGCTGGGAGCCACGTATGTGGATAAGAAGCGTGATCTGCTTGGGGCCCTGAAACACTGGAGACGGGCTATGGAGTTGCGTCACCAGGGGGGCGCATATCTGCCCAAACCAGAGCCCCCGCAGCTGGTCTTGGCCTATGACTATTCCAGGGAGGTAAACACTGCCGAGGAATTGGAAGCCCTTATAACCGACCCCGATGAGATGCGCATGCAGGCCCTGTTGATCCGAGAGCGCATCCTTGGTCCCTCTCACCCAGACACTTCCTATTACATCCGTTACAGGGGCGCGGTATACGCTGACTCAGGCAATTTTGAGCGCTGTATCCGCTTGTGGAAATATGCCTTAGACATGCAACAGAACAACCTGGAGCCTCTGAGCCCCATGACGGCCAGCAGCTTCCTCTCCTTTGCTGAACTCTTCTCTTACGTGCTTCAGGACCGCACGGCCAAGGGCAGCCTGGGCACACAAATCGGCTTTGCAGACCTAATGGGGGTGCTCTGTAAAGGGGTCCGGGAAGTGGAACGGGCCCTGCAATTGCCCAAGGAGCCTGGGGACTCAGTCCAGTTCACCAAGACCCTGGCCATCATCCTCCACCTGCTCTATTTGTTGGAGAAAGTGGAGTGTACTCCAGACCAGGAACATCTGAAGCACCAGACCGTCTACCGGCTGCTGAAGTGTGCCCCCCGGGGCAAGAATGGCTTCACCCCTTTGCACATGGCCGTGGACAAGGACACCACGAACGTAGGCCGATACCCAGTGGGCAGATTCCCCTCCCTCCAGGTGGTCAAGGTACTGCTTGACTGTGGGGCTGACCCAGACAGTCGGGACTTTGACAACAACACCCCGTTGCACATAGCGGCCCACAACAATTGCCCGGCTATCATGAATGCCCTGATAGAAGCGGGGGCCCACATGGACGCCACCAATGCCTTCAAGAAAACGGCCTATGAGCTGCTGGATGAGAAGCTGCTGGCTAAGAGCACCATTCAGCCCTTCAACTACATAACCCTGCAGTGCCTTGCAGCCCGTGCTCTGGACAAGAATAAGATTCCCTACAAGGGCTTCATCCCTGAAGAGCTGGAGGCGTTCATCGAGCTGCACTGACAGGGCTCTGAGAGGGGAGAACCCAGAGAGGTGTAGCCCACGCCAGTCCTCGCCCTCTCTTGGTGAGCACTTTAGGTGTCATGAAATGAGTGAAGTGCTCTCCCACCTCCACAACCCTTCACCTCTGCAGAGAGTGGGGATAGGAGTCAGCTCTTGGTGCTAGAAGCCTTCAGGATCATGTGCTCAGAGAACTGTCTTTCTCAGGAGCACACACCCATCCTTAATTGGGAGGGAATGCACGATCTTCCAACATCCTATCTGCCTGGGTCTCAGAAGATTTTGCCTTCTTACTGAGAGGCAGAGGGATTGAAGCCATTGCCTTTCTCCCCTGCTAGAAACAGGAAGAAACTGAGGATTGGGTCTTTCCTTCTTTGCCCCTTAATGTGGCGGGATAAACCTAGCCATGAAATGCAGTGTTAGGATTAGGGGCTCCCAAGGTGGAAAGTTAGAAACTCAAGAAGCAAGACCACCTCTCACTTCTTCCAGCACAGTTGCACCCTGCTCCCTCCCCATGTTGCCATAGCTGGTGTGCCAGGGCAGCCTGCCACTTGCATAGCTTTGGCTGGTTTGGTGTTCTGTTTATTTAGTAGGTGGGCAGGCTACAGGCCTGAGTTCTGAGGTTTTACTGCTATTTTTTTTTCTTAAGAATTTGAAATTTTCTTTTAAAACTTGATAAGTTAATTGTGTGCAGCAAGTTTTGTCATGCCTGAGGTGACTGACACCCTCAGGAGTGAGCTTCATTGTGTGAAGAATTTGGTGAAGGAGGTAGAAAACCATGGTATCAATTCCTAAAACGCAAGTGGCTGTACATTTCTTAAAACTTCACTCATTTGCCTTTTACTTGGGCCTCCTGTATTCCCATCCTCATCAGAGAAGTATCTTTTTCTAGACGGGTTCAGGCCAAACGCCCAAGGAGCTAAGCTTGGTGTAAGTTTCCCATTGAGTGAGAACTAGCAAGGTTGATTTGGGGCTTGGTTTTTATAGATTCTGAGTCAGAACTGCAGGCCGCTTCAGCACCACAGATCATGTACAACTGCATAGTTTTGTTGTGGGCGTAGCCACCCCAAGTAGCCCTTGTACTCCTACCACTGCTCAAGCACCTGAGTCCAGGACTTCCTGAGGAAATCCTAAGTGCAGCATTGTGAGATAGCTGGATGAGACAGTGAATGCCGAGAGCTGAAGTGATAGAAAATCTTGGCTTCCCATCACTCAGGGTATGAAGTGCCTGTGTAACAAAAACCAGTGCAGGGAGATTTTTCTTGGGTGGTACTGCATATGCCCTGGCAGAAGGGGACTGTTCTTGGCCTCTTTGGACAGCAGTGAATAGCAGAAGGGGACAGAAGCTCAGAAGAAAGGTCGCATTCAGGACAACAGCATCTTCATCTCATGCCTCTCCCGCAGCCTTGTCAAGTGACAGCTACACGGAGGCCTTTGGACACCACAGCAGGTCCCTGGATATTCCGCCCTCTGAGGAAACTAGGTCTCGTATGCATGAGACCTAGAAAACTGGGTCTCATTTGCAGTGTTGCTTAGGATGTTATTTATTGACTACCAGGTTTTACCTTCCGTCACGGCAGGAAACAGCACGGAATAAAAAAAGAGGCTGTTTAAATTGTGAGTCCTGGCGCTGGTGTTTGTCATTAAAAAGACAACATTCGAAGAGAACCACCTGACAGTTCCTTGCTGAGTAGACGGGGGAGAGGGTGGAGAGAGGGTGCTCCTGAGAGCTGGAGGCCATGGTGTCAAAGGAGCAGCCCTTGGGCTGCCATCTCTGACTGGAGGGATGAGCCTCTCTATGTGCTGGGGCTCTGTGTAAGATTTCATTTGGACATGGAGTATTACTGCATAAAAAGAAAACGTGAAAACCACTGACTTAGTCCAGACTCCCCACTTTGCAGTAGTGTTGCCATGGAAAAGAGGGCGGCTTGACCCTTCTGAAAGGCGAGGAAGGACTAAGGAAATAGGAAGGCCCCCTGACTCAGAGAGAGACCCATTGACGGGAACAGTGCAGTGCTGTGGCCCAAGAGGTCTGTTTAACAGGAACTTGGTGGGTTTCCTGGAGCTGGCTCCCCTCTTGTTTCTACTGTCATCTCACTTGTGAAATTCTGGTTTTCTCCACACTAGCACAGTCAAACTCCTCCCCAAAGCACTGCCCCATTAGGTGGTCATTGAGGTTTCCTACATGCATTGTTTGCCAGGCACGTTCCAAGTCCCCTTAGGGATAAGGATTGAGCCTTCTTTATTCCTGAGGTGGACGATCTCTCCATGTTCTCCCCTGTGGCAGTAGGGAAGGCCGTGCCCTGGTGATGTTTCCCTCCAGTAGTTCATTGGGCTGGAGGGTTCTTTTTCTGATTTCATTGGATGTCCAACAACTTTTTTTTAAATTATATTTTATTGTTTATGCTATTACAGTTGTCCCAGTTTTTTCTACCTTTTGCCTCCCTCCACCCAGTGCGCACCCCCCCCCCCCCCCCCCAGCTAACACCCACTCAGCTACAGCATGAGTATTATCCTTGCCTTAAAGGCGTGGATTTCAGATCAGCAGATGTCTCAGAGCTGTGTTCTTCCAGGAGACAACAGTAGCAAAAGCATTTATTGAGCCCTGACTGTATGCTGGCACCATTCTGTGTGCTTAAGTTGGCCACCCCATTAACTGCTCACAATGGTTCTGTGAAGTAGGTGTTATTCCTATTTTGAGACTATTAAGAGGTGTTACAAGGCTCACCAAAGGGAAAAGCTGCTCTGTGCCAAATGCTTTACAAGCTCAGACTTCCCAGTGAAAGCCATCCTAAAACAAAGCTCAGGCAGGTTCCGATGAGGATTGTTTCAGCAGCTTGAAACTGTTAGGAATGACCTGGTTGCTCTGGGTATCCTGAGATGGCAGCCAACAGAATGGAAGGCATCTTTCTGCCAAGTCTGAAGTTTCACTTGGATTGGACAAACTATCCTGGAATTGAGGCTGGAGAAGGAGGCTGCCTGCCCAAAACATCTGTACCCCTAGTGAAATTGGGGTGCTGTAAAGTGGAACAGACTCCATGGAGGAGGGCAAAAACAAAAACAAAAAAAAACCATGATAAAATTACTACCTGTAATTTATCAGTGAAGAAACAAGCTCAGAAGAGGCCAAGCAGTCTGCCCAAGGCCACACAGCCAGGATGATGACCCACTTCATTGATAGTTGAGCAAACTGAGGCTCAGAGAGGAGTAGAGGTTTGCTCAAGCTTAGCCAGGAAGCATGTATCCCACCTCATGATTCGGAGCCACTGCCCCCCCCCCCCACTGTCACTTCCCACCTTTCTGCCTCCACGGAACTGAAGTTTGGGTCTGAAATTCTGCTTATTTGCTCATCTACTTGCTTAACGCCTTTCTCAGACTTTCCAGAGCCCTGTGAGGGTCTGTCTTAGTCACGGCCCTGACCTTAGCTCCCATGGGTTGAGTGAGGAAATGGACAAATGCTTCTGAACTCCCAGAATTCCAGTCCTTGGACTACTTGGGGCAGCAGCAGGGGACAGAGGGAGCAGGCCCTGATGGCTTGGCCATGCACAGAGCCGCCGCCCCCATGGGATTCCAGCACTGTCATCTGAGCAGTGTTTATGGGAGGGGAGCGGCATGTCCCGGGCTGAAGTTAAAGATAGCACAGCTCCAAATCACATCACAGTCCAGAAAGGTAAGATGACCAACCCCTGGGACCGCTGGCACAGCAGGTCACTAACTCCATGTGCCTAGAAAAAGGATGGGTGGGGGTGTGGGTTCCTGTGGGAGATGCTGTGAGGACTGCACAGAGGGTGATTCCATCTAGTGGTTGTCAAAACGTGTTAGGCAATTCCCAGCCCAAATTCAGGCAGTACCACCACTCTTGCAAGGCTGGGAGAGAAATATTCCTGCCCCTGACCCCAGCACCTGTGGTTTTTGTAGGTCACAAAAGAGACACTGAACCTAGGTGTTGAACAAGACATTTGAGACCCCCCAGGGCCACCCTCTTCCCCACCCTATGCTCTAATGTCCTCTACTGAAAGCCTATCAAGCAATGATCTTCATAAAATGTCACTTTGCTAAGCCCCCCGCCGCCCCCGATCATCAAGGGCACAGCCCTAGCTATCTTCCACTGCATCCCCTTTGTGTGTTTCCTTCTCAACCCTTACAACCTTAACTCCTATAATTATCTTTTTCTTTACTTGCTTCTTTTGCTCATCGTGTCCCTCCCTTAGAATGTCGACTACACAAGCTCATTCCCTGCAGTGTTCCCAGCACCTAAAAGACCTGACACCCTGGCTGGTGTGGCTCAGCGGGTTGAGAGCCGGCCTGCAAACCTGAAAGGTTACCAGTTCAGTTCCCAGCCAGGGCTCATGCTTGGGTTGTGGGCCTGGTAGAAAAGGCGATCAATCAATGTTTCTCTTGCACATTGATGTTTCTCTCCCTCTCTTTCTCTCTCCCTGACATATAATAGCTCTTTAAACGTTTATTGAATTAATAAATGAACTCCTGTGGCTCCTAAGAAGAGGGAGGAGGTCTGCGTGGGCAGATCAGAGTAACAGGGAGAGCTGGAGGAGCTGGGAGACGCAAGCAGATGGCACAGGGCCTTTAGGTCCCAGTGAGCTGTTTGGGTTTTATCCTTAGGGAGACAGGCAGCTGTGGCAGTTTCAGGCTGGGCGGGGGTGGGGGGGGTGGGGGCGGGGGCGGAATAAACTGGTTGGGCTGAGATTGCTGTGGGTGAGGCTGGAGGGATGGTTTGGGATAGATCTAGAGACCACGGTGCTGAGAAGCTATGCAGGTGCCCCGTGAGCACTGGGTAGAAGGGGGCTGGACCAAGTCATGCCATGGGTAGGGGATGTGTATTTGTCAGACCTACTTTGGAGTTGGGCTGGCAAAAGCTGTTGTTGATGTGCTTTGGAGACTGGGAATTGAGAGGAGTCAAAAATGTACTCCTAGCTCTGTCTGGTATGGCTCATTGGTTGGAGCATCATCTTATAAACTGAAAGGTCACAGGTTCATTTCTTGGCCAGTGGACATGCCTGGGTTGCTGATTTGGTCAGCAGTCAGGGCATGTACAAGAGGCAGCCAATTGGTGTTCCTCTCTCATGGTGGTTTCCCTCTTCCTCCTTTCCCCTCTCTAAAATCAATAAGCATGTCCTTGGGTGAGGATAAAAAAGAAAAAAATGTACTCCTAGTTTTTGAGCCTGAGCCAGTAGATGGATGGATGGTGGAGCTATTTAATGGGATGGAGGGAAACAGAGCAGAGTTCTGGGCTTGAGGTGGCTCTAGGGCCGCGTGGGCGTCCCACATAGCTGCCTTGTTCATCGCTGTATACGCCATACCCGGGAAAGTACTTGGCACATAGTGGGCGCTCAATCAGTATTTGTTGACTAATTGAAGGCTCTCAGTACCAGAGAAGGTAGGCCTTTGAGTTGCTCAAGTGGCTTAGCATTGACCTTTAAAGGACCTCCAATTCAGATGTCATTTGGGGCTAGCAGGTAGCATAGGTGGGTGGGCAGCTGTGACCCAGCTTCAGTCAAAGAAGAAATCACAAAAAAAAAACTAGAAAATATTTTGAAATGAGCATAAAACACAACATAGGAAATATGTGGAATACGGCAGTGCTAGAGA